ATTGGTTTTGCAACAGGCTTGGGCTAGGGGGGCAGCTGCCGCGCGCAAGGCGCGTGGCCGACGTGGATTGGCAGGAATAACTCAAGGGGTCCATGCACCGAAATAGGGAAGACGGGGGGGCCTTAAAGTACCTCCTACATAAAAGATAGGGACTTTCGGGCCTAAGTACAGAATAATGAGGTACATGGACCCTTCGATTAAACCCTACTTCAATGAGCCCTTTCCTGTTCCATGGTTCCGGGCGCGAGCATGGTTCCCTATGCGGGCCCACTTAGCAGCCGCCCCACCTTGAAGAACCTTGGGACTACAGAGACCCGAACTTGGTATCAGAGACCCCTGAGTATGCTACTCCAAGCCCCCTATGACAGTTCTATGGGGCCATAGACCTTTGTGGGGTCCAGTTCGGTTGTTGTTCAAGGCAAAGCCAAGAAGCCAGGCTTGGACAACTACTTCATGTGCTGTGGGGTCGCAAGTAAGGTGCCGAAAGGCTTGGGAAGCCGAGGGTTGAACGTGATTTGTGTCGGCTTAGTGGAAGTAAGGGTTTAGGGGTTAGGGCTTATTGTTCCGGATTGAGGGTTTGGGGTTTAGCGTTTGGGGTTTATAAGGTTTTGGGCAGTTTTGGGTTGCAAGAACAAAGGGTTCCCAAACACAAACGACACCCGAGAGTTTCGAGTAGCCTTCACGGAGCCCACGTCATACATACATGCATACATACATACATGCATATATACATATATACGTACATACATACATATATATATATACATGTATGTGTGTATCTGTGTGTCTTTGTCGCGCCTGGCTTTCTGCAAATGTGCAAGTCAGCTAGTTAGAAGTCCTGCAAGCAACGGCCTTGAAAGCATTTCTTGCACGTGTGGCTTCGTCCGTTTTATTTACCTGAGGCCCAAACCCTAAACCCTAAACCCCAAACCCTAAACCCCAAACCCAAAACCCTAAAACCTAAATCCTAAACCCTACACCTCAGAGACCCTTCAGTTCGGCCTTAGGATCTTGCCGTGCTTCCGCAACCCACATCGCCCGGAGCCTCAAGAGCGCAAGGATGGGCTTAGGGCGGCTTAGGGTTCAGGGCTCAGGGTTCAGAAGAACTCCCAGGTCAATATTATGCTGCGTTCCATGCAGCTGCCCCGCCCTACCCCATGTCACCCAAGTCGCCCGTATACCCAGATGTCAGGAATTCGTTGTCATGCAAGTTTCACTCGGGCTGCTCAGCCTTGCATGCTTGTACAGAGCAACCTCCACCTGAGAGAGGATGCAAAACGCATGTGGCGGATTAGCAAGACATCTGTACTACTGTGGATGGACAAAATCTTGCATGACCCCCTGCGTTACACGTGTGCGACGGTTGGTAATCGAGCTCCCCGCACCCGTCGAATTTCAATATTGCGTGCGCGTATGGGTGATGCAGGATTTCGGTCATTCACACACATGCACTTTCGAAGCATTGCAAGGACGGCAATGTTAAGATTCAGGGTTTGGAAGGGATGAGCTGCATGATAAAAATGATGCAGGATTTCGTCCATCAACAGTCTGGAGACTTGCAAGTTTTCGGAAACTCTGGTCTCTAGTCACGGCTGACCAAAGTCAACTGAGGGCCGTATGTGAGGGGCCAGGATGGGGCAGAAAGTCCGGAATGTGGTATTTTTCAAGTTTCAAATTGTTTCCATAGTTTCAAATTAGTTTCCAGTCAGTTTCAAATTAGTTTCAAAATCCAGTTGCAAAATCGCTGTTAAGGGGGAACTGCAATTTCTGTCCGCGCTTTTTGAAAACCAGGAATCTCTGAGATTCCTTCATTTTTTGAATCGCACGTAGGAAAATGCAGTTTCCCCTTAACAGCGATTTTGCAACTGGATTTTGAAACTATTTTGAAACTAATTTGAAACTACAGAAACGAATTTGAAACTTGAAAAACGCGACATTTCTGCTCTTTGGTGCTTGGCCACACCGGAGAAGGGGAGAGCTTAGGCTTGAAGCTGCAAAAAGTACATCTCCGACATTCTTCCCAAAGGCCATTATGATGCAGGATTTCGTCCATCAACAGTAGTAGTTGCTGGCCCGGTGCATAGTGGTGTAGAATAGTGTGGATGGTCGCAAGAAGTCGCAGGCTGCTCAACCTAGGCTCAGGTGTAGGGATGGGCAGCACGCCCTGCGCCTGTGCCCTGTGAAGAGAAGTATGATACTCCTGTTTCACTGAGCCGTGGGTGCAGGGTTTAGGGTTTGCTGTGATATGTCGCAGAAGCTGTGAAGGTTGGGATGCAGACTAGCCTTGACAGCCTCATGCGAAAGGCAGCTTCGGAGGGCCATCTCACACTTTTTCCCCGCCTCACACCGTCTCAGGCGGCAAAACCACCCTAACCCATTCTAAACCCTAAACCCTACACCTTAAACCCTAAACCACCAACCCAAACGGCCCAAACCCCAGCCCGGGCTTCGGTAAGAGTGTTTTTTTTTTTGCTGCGGGTGCTTTTTTGTTGCGGGTGCGGGGCGCGCTTTTTTTTTTGCTGCGGGGTGCGGGGGCCGCTTTTTTTGGCGGGTGCGCGCGTTTTTTTTTTTTTTGCTGCGGGTGCGGGGGCGCGTTTTTCTTTTTGTTGCGGGTGCCGTGGGGGCGCGTTTTTATTTTTTTGCTGCGGGTGCGGAGCGTTTTTGCTGTTTTCTATATATTTTACTATGAAAACCTCTATTTTCTCTAATTTTTAAAGGGAAATCCTCTTTCTTCTCTATATTCGAATATGAAAACCTCTATTTTCTCTACATTTAGTATGAAAACCTCTAGTTTTTCTAATTTCTGTATACTTTAATACGAAAACCTCTATTTCTCTATATTTTATAACGAAAACCTTTGTTTCTCTCTATTTTTGTCTATATCGTCATAGTTTTCCTCTATATTTAATGAGGAAGACATGAGACAGGAATACATGAGAAAATAATTCTCTGTGTTATCTCAATATGCGACTTGCAATTACAAGTGTCTTTGTTCCTCTTGTCCTATTTTAATGGGAAGCCTATTATTTTCTCTGTCTCTGAATAGGCAAACCTCCATTTTCTTAAAATTTGAACATGAAAATAAAACCTCTATTCTCTATCTTTGAATATCAAGACCTCTACATTTTAATATGAAAACACTTTGTGTTTTTGCTATATTTTCGTCAAGACATGAGAGAGGAAAACATGAAAAGCTAATTCTCTATATTGCCATAAGAGCACATGCATTATCTCTATCTGTGACTCGTAGACAACAAGTGTTTTTGTTCATGTCTCATAACACAAGCTCTATTTTCTCGATTCTTTACTAAGAAAACGTTGATATCTCTATTTTTAAACCGAAAATTCAACTTCCACTATAAGGTCTGAATTTTCGCAGGAAAGCAAGCATATATTCCGTCGTTTTTCAGGGGGTTGGGGGCTGCGCAGACCGCCGCATTTGAAAACACAATGCTCGCATCATTGGTTTGGAAGGGATTCGTAAGCTTTGAAGCAGGCTTGCCGGCTAAAAAAGCGGGGGGGTTGGGGGTGGCGCAGCCCCCCCCCCATTTGCAAACACAATGCTCGCATCATCATGGGTTTGGAAGGGATTCGTATGATTGAAGCAAGTTTGCCCGGCTAAAAAGCGCAGCCCCCCGCGGGGGGGAATGCTCTCACGATGGGTTCGGAAAGGATTCATTTGCTTTGAAGCAAGCTGGCATGGCTTTAAGAAGCGGGGGGGTTGGGGGGGGCGCAGCCCCCCCCCCATTTGCAAACCCAATGCTCGCATGATAGGCTTGGACAAGAAGCGAGCTGGCACGGTTTAAAGAGGGGGGGTCGGGCGGGGTGCAGCCCTCCCTCCACCGTTTGCAAACACAATGCTCGCATGATGGCCTTGGGAAGGATTCATGCTTTGAAAACGCTTGCACAGTTTAAAGGAGGGGGGGGGTTGGGGGTGGGGATGGGGAGGCAATTGCAATACAAATGACCTGGGGGGTGGGGAGGAAGGGGGGGGGCGCGTTTTTTTTTTTGCTGCGGGTGCGGGGGCGCGTTTTTTTTTTTGCTGCGGGTGAAGGGGCGACACGCACCAGGTCACTCACTCACCGGGGCGGCCCCCGAAAAAAGCACCCACAGCAAAAAAGCACCCACAACAAAAAAAAAACACGGGTTCCCCCGGGCTTCCTGGGCTTCTGTCACCCCTCAGATCGATGGGTTGAGGGTTCTAGGTCAGGGTTCAGGGTTCAAAGGCTACCCTAAACCCTAAACCCTAAACCCCAAACCCTAAACCCTAAACCCTAAACCCTTATGAATTATACCGTTTCTCCCACGGCTACTTATGAGTTATACCGTTTATGAGCGCCCTGAAAATAGATCAGGGCCCATCTTCCTGTTTTGTCCTGCAAGCTGTCGGTGCCTCAAAGATGAAGCTGTAAACCTCCAGGCTTTGTACGCAGGAGGTTCATGAAGATGCCTTGCTATGAGTTGCTGGGGGGGGGGGGAGGGTGGCTCTTAGGCCGTCCGGTCGGTTCTCAAGATTGCGGTCCCGTTTTTTGGGGTACCCGGAAAGAGTTAAACTCTCAAAATTCTTGTCTTTTCTTGCCCTAAACCCTAAACCCTAAACCCTAAACCCTAAACCCTAAACCCTAAACCCTAAACCCTAAACCCTAAACCCTAAACCCTAAACCCTAAACCCTAAACCCTTGGGGTACCCGGAAAAGAAAGAGTTTCGGCCGCCTTAGAGGAAGGACACTGACAGGGACCGCATCTTTGAGAAGTGACCATCTCAGGAGCTCTGTCTACGTCCAGTCCGAAGGTCTTTCGAATTCGGTTTAGGGTTTAGGGTTTAGGGTTTTTAGGGTTTAGGGTTTTTAGGGGTTTAGGGGTTTAGGGGTTTAGGGGTTTAGGGGTTTAGGGGTTTAGGGGTTTAGGGGTTTAGGGGTTTAGGGGTTTAGGGGTTTAGGGGTTTAGGGTTTAGGTTTTAGGGTTTAGGGTTGAGGGTTTAGGGTTTAGGGTTTAGGGTTTCAAGTCGCTTGCTCATACCATCCATACTTGCAGCGCCTGCACCTCCGGCGCCGTCTACGTCGGAAGCGCCGAAAGTCCCGGTAGTACGAATGCCCGTATGTCGGCGTCGGAGTTGTAGGTTCGGTTGTGTTGCACCCGATGATCCTGCCAACGGCGGTGGTGTTGATACGCATCTGATCAACGTCAGTGACGAAGGAAGTCACTACTGCGGCGGTCGCAGAGATGCTCGCACTGACATCCCCTATAGAGCTGTTGAGGAGCAATGTCTGCGTTGGCCCCCAAATGCCATCGGTGCCCCTCTCGAAGAAGGAGGCCCTTCGCATGTTGTTTGAAGCCTTGGGGATCCAAAATGAAACGATGAACGTATACCCTTGACCCCTTCACCATTTGAAACCCTAAACAGCAAGCCGTGAATAAGTTCAGTTAAGGTCCAAGTTAAGGTCTAACCTTAAACTTCGTCAAGCAGGCGAGAAGCCTACAAAGCGCCCCTTTTGAGGGATCTCCCTCAAGGTTTTAACCTAAACTCCCTGGCCCTAAACCCTGAACCCCTCAGCCAAACCCTGAGCCCCACCGCCCGGGACCCCACACCCTTCGTAGCACGGGGCGCTTGGGGCTTAGGATTTTGAGGAGCCCGCGAAAATAAATCCTAAATCATATATACCGTAAATCTTTAGGAATTCGAGCCAGAAGCCCCTGTCACCACTGCCTTGCCGGAGCTGGAAATATCTGCATCTTCGAGGAAGTTTCCAAACGGAGATGTTTCCCCAATCTCTTGGCGGTAGACCTGTCTCTTCAGCGGTATAAGGAGGGACCCCTAGAAGGGACCCTTAATCATACTCCCCTACATGACCCTTATATATACCTGATATAGTTCCTATATACCTAATGAGGTTTCGTTGCAGATGCGCAGGATGATGGTCTAGCCAAGTGCCGGGTGCACTGTACAGCAACAACTCGAGAGCAATCGTGCAGAACACTCTGTGTACGGTTTCCGGTTTCGGGTTTCGGGCTTCGGGTTTAAGGGTGACAAGCTTCTTAGGAAGAATGCAAGGCCAAACCTCCACACGGCAAATCCTCACCCTCCGACCTGCAGACAGTTATGCCGCATGGAGCATACTTGGCGGATACCCTAAGCCCTAGTTAATAAGTACCATGAACCTCCAAGTGGAGCTTACCACACCCTGACCTCCTTCCATCCAGAACCGCACACTTAGAGTTTCATTGTTCTTGGCCGTTGGTCATATGGCTACGAGTACCCTAAACCCTATAAGCCCTAAGCCCTAAACCCTAAACCCTAAACTTTAAACCCTAAACCCTAAACCCTAAACCCTAAACGCTAAACCCTAAACCCTGAACCCTTCCTCCAAGCACTCACCTCATCCCTGGTAGCTTGTGGAATGTCTTGGCTTCTTCTTGCCATGTGGGTACTTCCCGAAATAGAGGGTACCCCTTTTTTTTTGATACCCCAGCTAGAAAAGAATCCCCTTTCAAGGGGCCCGCACAAAGAAAGGGTACCCCTATTTTGGGGAAACACCCATGCGTTTTCATGAGAGCCACCCTCAACGGTTGACAAGCAACACAACGCCTCCTCCCATGAGCCGTCGTTCTTCTCGTAGATGAAGAGAAACACCTGCTGCGCTGCCTTCGTGACCTCCAAACATATCTGGGAGGGCTTAGGGTTGAGGCCGGGTTTAGGGTTTAGGTCTCGTGGCCCGTCGGGCAAGAAACATTTTTGATGGAGGTTCGGTCGTGCAGTCAGGAACGGGATCATGCGGGGGCTGCTGACCCTAAACCCTAAACCCTAGAATCTTTGCAGGTACTAACGATCTGACACTGGAAGATGGCTTTTGAACTCCCCACCGCCAGCATGGAATTGCCATCCACGGCGACTCCCGTAGGCAGCTCAACATCCAAAGAAGCCTTGCCACGGCTTAGGGTTAGGGTTTAGGGTTTAGGGTTTAGGGTTTAGGGTTTAGGGTTTAGGGTTTAGGGTTTAGGGTTTAGGGTTTAGGGTTTAGGGTTTAGGGTTTATGGTTAGGGTTTAGGGTTTAGGGTTTAGGGTTTAGGGTTTAGGGTTTAGGGTTTAGGGTTTAGGGTTTAGGGTTTAGGGTTTAGGGTTTAGGGTTTAGGGTTTAGGGTTTAGGGTTTAGGGTTTAGGGTTTAGGGTTCAGGGTTCAGGGTTCAGGGTTCAGGGTTCAGGGTTTAGGGTTTAGGGTTTAGGGTTTAGGGTTTAGGCCTTACCATGCACTGCAAAATGAACAAACCTGCTGAGGTTCACGGACATACAAGCCCCCGAAGCCAGAAAACACATAGCTAAACCCCTACCCATGAACTCAAAATTGCCCAAAACACCTCATCAAGGCCGGTTGGGTTCAAGTAGCCGGACGAATATGTTAATACAAAAAACTGCTTGGTAGGGTTGGCTGGGATTGATGGCTGATGCAAGCACGCCGGCATGACAAATGTGTTTTGGCTTGGTTTTGTTGCATTGCGGAGGGGTGGGGACACCCCACCTTACCGAGTGCTTTGTTGGGGGTTCGCTCGTGAAGCGAAAGGGACACGTCTAAAGCATGGCTTGGTTGGGTCGGCTGTGGCTGGGCTGATACTTAATGCAAACGTTCCGGGCCTGTAAAGATATTGCTTGGCCTGGCCATATCATATAGCGGGAAGGTCGGGGGATGGAGGGCAGCACCACTGCTGCCCCGATTCGTTGGGCCTTGATTGTGAAGCCAGGTGGATATGTTAATGGAGAACATGGCTTGGTTGAGTTGGCTGTGAACGGGCGGATGTTTATTAATTGTGGGAGTTGTGGAAATTAATTGGGATTTCGCGTAGTGGTGGGAACGGTGAAAATCCTGGGTAGGGGTGTGTGATGGTTGGGATGGCGAATGGTGGGAAATGGTCCGGCTGGCAGAAATCTTGGTGGGAAATGGTGGGAATGATGGGTCAGCGATGTGTATGTTGTTGCATGGTGGATGGGTAGTGTGTTGCATGGTGGGTCACGGTGGGTAGTAGGATGGTGAGTAGTGATGGGTAAGGTTGGGACTGGTAGTGAATAACGGCGAAGCCTGGGTGGTCTGGAGGGATTTGGGTTCAAACAGGGCTTATAGGGTTTAGGGTAAATGGTGGGGAAGTGGTCTGCACTGGTGGGCAATGGGTAACAGTGGGGGGTAGGGGTTGGGTTGGTGGGTAATTACTGGGCACTTGTGGGGGTAGAGAGGGGCTGATAGGGTTACGGGTTTTGGTTTAACTGCTTAGCCCTTTTGGCTTTCGGGCTTCTGTTTAAACCCTAAACCCTGCAGCACAGATACTCCCTGAATGTCTATATGGTTTAAAGCTCTATGTTCTCTAGTGGCCCCAATTAAAACATTTGAAAAGTATTTTTGTTTAATGTTGTTCCTACCCTCTTGTGTGGTACTGGCAGGACTTTTGCAGGGTGCCAAGAGGATCCCGGCAAAATTTGACCCGCAAATATTGTTCCTACCCTTTCCCGTCTTGTGGTATTTGCAGGACTTTTGCAGGGTGCCAAGGGGATCCCGGCAAATTTTGACCCGCAAATGTTGTTCCTACCCATTTCCGTTTTGTGTGGTATTTGCAGGACTTTTGCAGGGTGCCAAGGGGATCCCGGCAAATTTTGACCCGCAAACGTTATTCCTACCCTTTTGCGTTTTGTGTGGTATTTGCCGGACTTTTGCAGGGTGCCAAGGGGATCCCGGCAAAATTTGACCCGCAAATATTGTTCCTACCCTTTCCCGTTTTGTGTGGTATTTGCAGAACTTTTGCAGGGCGCCAAGGGGATCCCGGCAAATTTTTACCCGCAAATATTGTTCCTACCCTTTCCCGTTTTGTTGGTATTTGCAGGACTTTTGCAGGGTGCCAAGGGGATCCCGGCATTTAAAGGGGAGGGCCCCCCTTTTAAAATCTTTAAAATTTAATTGGACCTCCAATTAAGTTTTAAAGGTTTTAAAGGAATTTAAAGGCTTTCAAACCTTTAAAACCTTTAAGTTTTAATTGGGAAGGTTTTAAAGGCCCTAAAAGTTTTAGAGCCTTTAAATTCCTTTAAAACGTTTAAAAAGAGTCCGGGGGACTGTGGGAGTGCACTTTTTTTCTGTTTTTTACTTTCTCGTACTTGATAACTATCGTTCAATCTTCGGGCGGTGATCTCTCATCTTAATTATGAAATTGCCTTTTCATTATTTATGTGAGAACATGCTATGTATGAAGTGCTACCACACTTCATGCCCAGGCCTTGGTCACATTGATCACATGGAAACAGCTTTTCAGAGCAAGTGAGTCTATACCTGGCTTAGTTCGTGAACTATGAGGACAAGACGGAGAACTCACTTTCGATGAGGCTGTTGGTCAAGTAGCAGGTCAAAATTTCAAAGGACCAGAGGCATGACTCATCAAGTGCGATCGTCCTGTGGGAACTGTGTCGGTCCCCCCTCCCAACAACCTGCCCTTGCTTCAGCTTTTCTTAGTATAGTCAGAACAACGACTCCTAAAATTGCATATTTGAGCACCGGGAAATGAAGGACAGCTATTGGGACAATTGGGACACCCACCTCACAGGCTCCGATAAGCCAGCATTGGGCTACTCTATGTTTTTAATCTTGACAGGACAATGCTGGCTTTGTAGTTTGTATGTGTTAATTTATCTTGGCAACTTGTTCTTTCGAAGGGTCCAGAATGTTGTTTTATTGGATAAATTGTAGTTTCGCAAGGCAAAGTATTGAAAGTATTGATCCAATACCATACGGAAAGTCCACTGAAGTACTTTGTTTTTACGCGTGAATGAAACAAGTAAATGTATATTACACAAAACATTCGCCCTATGCGAGTTTAACTACAGCAGCACTTAGCAAATAGCTGAACATTGACTAAATGAATTCAACTTAAAAGAGTGTTTTTTGTACAACTAAAGTATGCACTAGACACTAATTGAAATAGAAGCGGCTTGAGTTTCATAATACTGAAACCAATGCTACTGAAGTACTTGTTAAAGACTACTGATGCGCGATGCCTGAAAAGAGACAGGCTTTAATATGCACAGTTCTCATAGAAAAGTAGCTGTTGCCTCACAACGGTCATAGCACAAGTAAATTCACAAACGCAAATGTAAGCTTTCAAGGAGAACCTTTGGTGAAGTTTGGATTTGGGGGTTTTAAAGTCTCTCTAGATAAATAAAGCAGCTGTTCAAGCAAATAACTCTAGGCAACAAACCTGTTTCCAAACAAATATTGCTTCTACTGGGCAAAATGTTGCTCAACCATGCGATGCTCATTACATGCTGATTCTACCAATCTAGCAGTCAGTGAATATTCAACTATTATTGGGTGAGTACAAGATTTATTGAATACACTTGACTACAGATACGAATGAAATACAATTTATATACTGTATGCTTAGACAAGTACAATTTACATAGAAAAGCCTTGAAAAGCACACATTTCTAAGAACCATACCATCCACCCAGTAAAGGCTATAGTACTGGGCATGGGAATGCGGGGTTTGGGGGCAGAACCAATGCTCAAACGCTCTTTACATGCTACTTGAATATGAAACTAACCCATTCATGTACCCATTAAAAACAGTACTCTTTATATACGATGCCTACAAAAGTACAATTTGCATAGAAAAGCGTAGAAAAGCACAATTCTCTTAGAGGGAAGGGGGGGCTCAGGCAGGAATGGCAGTACAGGAAAGCACAAAAAAGCCACAAACGCACAAAAACCCACAAACGGCTACACGAAAAGCAAAAATTAGCAAAAGAACATAAAAGCCAAGCAAGTATATTTCAGGGTTCTCCACAATATTCTCACGCAAAACCAAAAAAAGCAATATTTCAGGACTCTCCACCAAAACCGTACGGAAAATTCGTACGGAAAACCAAAAAAAGCAAAAAAAACAAAAAAACAAAAAAAACAATTTTCAGGGACTCTTTGAAACTAGGCCATCTGCTGGAAGAGTCCTGAAATATTGTTTTGTTTTTTTTGGTTGTCTTGGTTCTTTTGGCTCTTTTGGTTTTTTTGGTTTTCCGTACGGATTTTCCGTACGGTTTTAGTGGAGAGTCCTGAAATATTGTTCTTTTTTTAATAGTTTGGTTGTCCGTGGGACTGGAGAGTCTAGAAATATTGTTGTTGCTGGGGTTTTAAAAATTCTTTAACAGCGACAAAATGCAGAGAAAGTGCACTCCCACAGTCCCCCGTTTTGTTTAAAAACTCATTAGAGGTCCAATTAAATTTTAAACATTTAGAAGGCTTTTAAAGATTTTAAGGGGGGCCTCTCCCTTTTAAAATTTAATTGGGGCCTCCCCAATTTTCAAGGTTTTACAGCCCAGATTTTGACAAACAAAAAACATTCTGGTGACACATATTCCGCGGAAAATGTGTCATGTTTTTTGTGATAGCACAGCTCTACTGACACATACTCCGCGGACAAAAATGTCATGCTTTTGGCGCTAACAGAACACTGGTAACACATATTCCGCGAAAAATGTGTCATGCTTTTTTGTGTTAGCACGGCTCTATTGACACATATTCCGCGGAAAAATTGTCTTGTTTTTGGCGCTAACGGGACTCTGGTGACACATATTCCGCGGACAATGTGTCATGCTTTTTTGTGTTAGCACGGCTATACTGACACATATTCCACGCAAAATGTGTCATGTTTTGCGGCGCTAACAGAACTATGGTGACACATATTCCGCGGAAACATTGATATGTTTTTGGTGTTAGCACATTTCAGGATTTTACGGATTTTAAGGATTTCAAGTGGATTTCCCAGAACTTTAAGGAATGAAGGAATTTAAAGGCTTCCTAAATGTTTAAGAGCGCCGTAAATTCCTTAAAATCCTTAAAGTTTTTGGAAATTGATTTGTCCAGAGCTTTAAGAAATTTAAGGAATTTACAGGCTTCCTAAATTTGTAGGAGTGCCTTAAATTCCTTAAAACCCATGAAGTTTTTGGACATGGATTTCCCACAACTTTAAGGAATTTAAGAAATTCAAAGGCTTCCAAAAGTTTTAAAACTTTTCAAATAAATTTTAAAGGGTAGGGGCCCCCTTTAAAATCTTTAAAACCTCCGGCCGGATAAAAAAATTCAAATAATTTAAATCCGAAACCAAATAGTGTTTATTTGGAAGCTCCCGTGTGTGTTCTTGGGCAAAACCCGAGCCGTAGCTTCCAAATAAACGCTATTTAAGCTGCACACGGGGGGGGGGGGGGGGGAACCGCCCTCAAGGCCTCAAGGCCTGAAGCTTTCCAGCCTTTTACAGGGCCTCAAGGCTTACTGCGTAAGCCCTTAACCCTAAACACAAAGCCTTAAACAACAAGTCATCCGAAAAAAAACTTGGTACTATAGAGGGTAGCCAGACAAACTTACTAAAGACAGCCCGACCGGCCCGTGGGCTACCTATCACAAAATTTGTTTGGGGCCTCGTTTCGAAATGAATTTCCATAAGGCTTTACATGAACCTGGCCGGGATTAGATTTCTGGATTCTCCAAAACACAAACCCTTAAACGAAAAAAAACCGGGAACAAACTTGTGATAATGGCGGGTACCCTGAACAAACTCGGTTCGCAGAAAAATTTTCGAAATTTGTGACTATAGACCCTGCTTATACTAAAACCAGTCCAACATTAGTCTAAAGAAGAAAAACGCCGAAACGCAGAATAATTCAGAACAGGAGAACAAAGGAAGTGAAGTTGACCACTGGACCGTTCCAGGAGCCGCCAGTCCACTCGTACCTGGAAGGGTTTTGCTTTTTGGGTTTAAGGGTTTAAGGGTTTAGGGTTTAGGGCTTAGGACTTAGGGTTGAGGGGCTGCTTAGGATTTACGCATGAAGTGTTTGCACACGGTCTAGAGACAGCAAGATTACGATCGTATCAAAGCTAACGTATACCTTGGTAGCTTACACTAATAAAGGTATTTAGGGGTTTAGGCTTTTGGGTTTAGGGTTAAGTTTTTGTATACTACAGCACACGGTTTGCAGTTTAGGGTCTCGGCTTACAGCAGTTCAAGGGCCGCGCGAATCTAGGAGCTCGACCCCACATAAAGAGCAAAGATGAGGCCCCGAAAAAAGACATGGGAGATAAGCTCAGGGATTTTCACCCTAAACCCTAAACCCTAAACCCTACGCGGAGACGTAGTTGGTATTTAAAGGTGATGTGAATAGGTGGTCAAGGGCAATGTCCCGCATTAATGTTGGCTCAAGGCTCAAGGATGGCCGGGAGCTGTCCAGTGGAACTTTAAAAGTTGGGTTTAGGGTTTAGGGTTTAGGGTTTAGGGTTTAGGGTTTAGGGTTTAGGGTTTAGGGTTTAGGGTTTAGGATTGCCTGGGTTTGGGGTTTTGGAGCCTGCCATCCCTGGCCTTAGCGCCTTCGCGCCACCCCAAGCTGTCTTCGCTGACTCTGCCTCCCCTTTCCGTCTGCGCATCGCAAATGCCCGGTACTGGTGTCTTCCTGCCTCCCTGGCCTTGTCTCGGCCCGCCTTGTGGAGGTCCCCGAAAGGGCGTGAGTGCTGACTCATGTGATGCTGTGTAAAAAAAAAGTCTTAACTCCTTGAGAGTTGTAAGTGGGGGGTCTTGGGGTGGGTAGGTCTGCAGTCTGCAGACTACCGCACTCTCCCAAAGCGCGCTTCCGTTTGGCACGCCCTAAACCCTAAAACCTAAAGTGTAAACCCTAAACCCTCAACCCTAAACCCGAATTTCTAGCCGGCCGAGGTGCAGGGAAAGAACCGGAATGGTCTTGAAAGGGCTGATGTTGAATGTGGCGCTGAACAAGACGAGCTGCTTTTCATCGACTGCAAAATCTAGGTCGTGTTTAGGGTTTGGGGTTTAGGGTTTAGGGTTCCGAGGGTCGGAGTTTACACCAGATCAGGCTTCAAGACGAATAAGAAATCTTGCCCTTACTGCGGGTGCCTAGAGACGTGCTGTACTCTGACTCGTCACCGTGAGGTTGGCACCCGGTACCAGGGACCAGCCCGCCCCTTGCCACTGAAAGGTTTGAAAAGGCCTCGACGTGCCGTCGGTGGCTGCTCTGAATACCATCAAATTTCCCCCAAGCTTGAGGCATCCACCAAATTTGGCACTGCACTGCGCCCCTTCGGGGAAAGTCTCAAGGTTCAGGAAGGCCCAGGACGTCCCGTCGTAGGCAAAGCTGTAGACATTCCTTACGGTTGGTTCGTAGGGAATGAGGGAATGAGGTACAGTACTATATATACTCCCTAAAGGGTATCTATAGGGGGATACAGGGTACCTCATTCCAACACTCCCTAAACCCTAAACCCTAAACCCTAAACCCTAAACTACTAACCAACACGAAGATTCAGGGGCAGTTCCTCTCGTGCTTGGAAGAAGATCGCGATGTTCGAGGTGCTCAGGTCGGCTTGCACCCACCGCTCCGTCCCGTTCCTTACTGGTTCGTAGGGAATGAGGGCGTGAGGTCCCGAAAACCTGAACCCCAAACCCTTATACCCTCTTCACGGGAATCTATAGGGTGCCAATTCCCGCAGACTCTACTAACCAACAGTAAGGTTCTGCGCCGCAAGAGCCGTTAGGTTGGCGTTCAGCTGCCACCCCGTGTCTCCCACGCTGTACATGAGGACCAAGGCAGGAAAGTCTGGATTGGGAATTGTATCAAGCCTTGGGCACGACAAACGAACCCTAAAATTGGGGTGTCTATACCCTACTGCAACAACTACTACTACTACTACTACTACTACTACTACTGCTACTACTACTACTACTACTACTACTACTACTACTACTACTACTACTACTACTACTACTACTACTACTCCTACTGCTCTACTCCTCTACTCCTCTACTCCTCTACTCCTCTACTCCTCTACTCCTCTACTCCTCTACTCCTCTACTCCTCTACTCCTCTACTCCTCTACTCCTCTACTCCTCTACTCCTCTACTCCTCTACTCCTCTACTCCTCTACTCCTCTACTACTCTACTACTCTACTACTCTACTATTCTACGTCTACTACTACTACTACTACTACTACTACTACTACTACTACTACTACTACTACTACTACTACTACTACTACTACTACTACTACTACTACTACTAACTACTACTACTAACTACTACTACTAACTACTACTACTTCTACTACTACTACTACTACTACTACTACTACTACTACTACTACTACTACTACTACTACTACTACTACTACTACTGCTACTTCTACTACTACTACTACTACTACTACTACTACTACTACTACTACTACTACTACTACTACTACTCCCACTACTCCTACTACTCCTACTACTCCTACTACTACTACTACTACTCCTACTACTCTGCTACTACTACTACTACTACTACTACTACTACTGCTGCTACTACTCCTACTACTACTACTACTACTACTACTACTACTACTACTACTACTACTACTACTACTGCTACTACTGCTACTACTACTACTACTACTACTACTACTACTACTACTACTACTACTGCTGCTACTGCTGCTGCTACTACTACTACACTACTACTACTACTACTACTACTACTACTACTACTACTACTACTACTACTACTACTACTACTACTACTACTACTACTACTAGGCGTGACGTTCTTAATTGATCGCAGGGGTTTTGTGGCATGCCATTTTCGTGTTAAGAGACGAAAACCTCGGTATTTACAGCGTTTCCTGGCGTCCGGGACACGAAAAATTTTCCCGCAAACTACTTTCAACTACTTTAGAGGAGGAAAACATCGGTATTTACAGTGTTTTCCTTCACGGTCACAGGGCCTACTGTACCTCAGAACAGAGGAAAAGACCGGTAACACGTTTCGCGGGTTTTCTAAGATGTGGCCACACTTGTCCTTAAACCCGAACGCCTCCAGCAAGCCGAACAGTCGTGCACCCTGAAATCCGAAACCCCAAAACCTGAAGCAAGCCCAAGAGTCGTGCACCCTTAAAAGAAGTCGAAGCCCAAAAGTCCTGCACCCTGAAAGTCTAAAGTCCAAGCCCAAAAGCCCAAAGAGTCATCTACCCTGAATGGCAAGGCCAAAATCGTCGCACCGTGTACTCTCAACAGCAGCCCAAACCCCGAAGCTGACGTCCCTTCAGAGAATCCCTCTTTTGTAAGCCTCCAAGGCGTCCTGTAAAACGGCTCGCATTATACAGGCAGCCATGAAGGGGTCAAAGCCGAAGCGTCGTGCATTAGTTCCGGGCCGGAACAAGCATCTGAACAAGACTCACAGGTGCTCCTGCTGCGGCCAAGGGTCACAGGGCGGACACATGTGACTCCGCTGCTGGCCGGGCGTGGCGTCGACTGCGCTCCTTGAAGGCGGACGCTTGGGGTAGCGGCAAAGCTGTGCGAGCACGGCCCAGCGTGACCTTTGTGCGGCATGCGCGTCTGCGCTACACGGGTCACTGCAAGGCGGCCACCAAACAAGTGCATGCGCCGGCGCACAGAAGTGTCCTGGCGGAGCAGCGACGCATGGCGGACGACCAGTCCCTGGCCTACAAGGAACTTGCGCGCCTGCGTTGGCTGTGTGAGAAAGCGTGCTGCCGCAGCTGCTCTGGCTGTTCTTTCACGCCTGTGCATGCGAACCCTACACGGGGCGCCGGCTTGTTCCGCAGGTGCAAAGGCTGCAGTCAGTTCCAGAGCGTTCTGGTGGGTACCTGCTTTGAGGGCCTGCGGATTGACATAGGGGAGCTCTATCGCTTGGCACTCGAGTACGTGAAGCAGCCGTTGACTCAGTCTCCGAACGTGTTGGCGCTCCAGCGGGCCTGTGGTGGCAGCCGCACCCAGACAGAGCACTTTGTTTCCTGCGTTTTGGCTGCGGAAGTCGCAGAAGGCAGACGACGCAATGCCAGGATGTCCTGCAGGGGTGCTCTGGAAGGGGATGCACACAGACTCCGTAAGCTTTTTGTGAGCGAGAGAAACCCGCACTTTCAGGACCTCATTTTTCAGGCTCGCAGAAACAGGGTCAACTCTGGAAAGCAGACGCCCGTGCAAGCTGTGTGGGCAGTCCATGTTCGCATTGCCGGCTTGGTGCACCGCGGCGGCAAGATCGCCATTGCCGAGCTTCCGCTGAAGGCCGTCGCAAAGAAGGCTCCTCCGCCTGTGGAGAGCTGCTTGACTTTGTTGTTAGTTGTCCTCGTTTTCTTTTTGTTTGTATCGCACTTAGTCCGAAACGAAACCTGACCTTTAGCAGAGGTCTTACGGACTTGCTGCAGTGCGGTCTTCTGAAGAAGCTGCCCAGTCGGAAAACGTCCGGGGGTTATGCGACCAAGCTTTTCTTGGACGGCAACGAGGACAAGGCTTGCCGGGTCTTGAAGCGGCACGTGAAGCCAGATCATGTGAAGCATCGCAAGAAGGAGTTCGTGTCGCGCAAGAAAGGCAACGGTCTTTGGGGAGGCACTCAGACACTCGACTCGCTTTGGCAGCACCTTGATCGTTTCGTGGGGTCTCGCTTGAAGACGCGGACCACGGATGGCAACATCAACCCGCGTCTGATGGACAAGGCCTTCGCTTGGTGCTTCCGGTACAACTTGTCCTCCCAGGAGAAGGACAACTTCATGGCTACGCTTGGCCTCGCTTTGCAGAGGTGTGTCACCAAACGTGTCACCTGATGGGGTTTCGTTGTCAGACTAGGACAGCAGACTGGCTTCGCGGACAGTCACGTGGAAGTTGCTCCCCACACTGGTCAAGGCGCCATGGGGGGAGGGGTTTTTGTTTCAACTGAGTCGCATCCATGGATAAGGGGCTTGCTGGCAGAAAAACAGACGTTGCTTCTCCCAGCGTGCGTTGAGCCCGAAAGTGATGTTCCGCAACCCTGAACGCGTGAAACCCTGAGTTATTCTTCAGATTTGGAAAACCTGTACGTTTCGTGAGTCCGACGCAGACTCTTGCGGCTCACGTGCAGGCTTTTCGAGGGGTTCGAAAGGCATGTCTCCGTGGCTCCCGGTAACCTTGGCGATCTACTTGGTTTTGAGGCATTCCTGTCTAATCCGTTCCCCCTAACAAAAAAGGCCCCCCCCCCCCCTGGCTCAAGCCAAGCCTGGGCTTAAGCCTGACCCAGCCGGTCTGCAGACCCAGGCCAGAGAGAGATCAGACGTGTTTAATTAAGTGAATGACAGTTCAAGCAGAAGACCAGCTGCATTGAGAGGCTGTGCGCAGCATGGCCAGCGACCAGACCGAGGTTGCAGACAACGAGGCTCACACTGTCTGAGTCAGAGGCAACCTAATTAATTAGCCCGAAAGCAGCCAGGACGCCCTCTACAAAGCAGGTCTGGTGGTCAAGTGTGGGCTCCGCCGCAGGTCGTGCCAGCAGGTTGCCAACCTGCCCTTCGGGGGGGCGGGTCGGAAGTTTAATTGCTTGTCCGGTACAGCATTTTGAGACTCACAGGGTTGCAGGGTTCAGTCTTGAATGTCTCAGTCTTGAATGTCTCGGTGCAGGTGGGGTGGCATCTCTTCGACCAGACCTTGCAGGCAGCCGCCAGTCCAGAAGGTTCGGAGTCACTCCTTGTAACCGAGCCTTTCACGTGGGCAGCCAACCGAGCCAACACAGTCATCACAATGAGTGATCAGATACCAGTCTGGCTCAAGCCCACTCCAGGCAAGACCTTGACTTCAGTCCTGAGGCTGCAGGTCGCAGCAGAGCAAAGGAAGATCAGGCGACAGAACAAGGCTTTGTCCAAGGGCAAGGCGAAGGCCAAGGCCAAGACTGGCCCCAGAATTGCCTCAGTCCGCCGAGCACCAGGCCTTGCAGCCAGGTGGCGAGTCTCGTTCGTAGCCAGGCAGGCAGTCCGGAGATACTTCCAGCCAGGCCAAGCCCCTGAAGGTGTGGTTCAGCCCAGCATCCTCGTCGTTTATGGAGGCCATTGCAGGCTGGAAAACATCAGTCCGGATGGCAGGTGGCTTCAGTCAGAAGAGTTTTGGGTAGGCAGCAAGCACGTAGTCAGACAGCAGGGAGAAGCAGTCCCAGGCCAGGTCATGAAGAGCTGGCGAAAGCTGAGACGCAGTCAGCCGCAGTTGTTTGCAGACGGCCAGATTCGCATCTGGTCCCAGCCATCAGCAGTCGTAGACAGTGTCATCTACAGATGGCAGCTGGAGCTAGACAGGCAGGAAGCTCCACAGGCCATCAACCTAGTAGACCATTTCGCTGCAGCCTGGACAGACGACTCGCTCCATGCAGCAGCCTTGCTCCAGAGGCATCAGACAGGTGTGCCAGCCAGCTGCACAGGGCTTTGCCAGGTGATTCGGGTTGAAGGGTTTAAGGGTTTAAGGGTTTAGGGGTTTAGGGGTTTCAGGGTTTCAGGGTTTCCCTCTGGACAAGCTGTTGCCAGGACCATACTCCTGCCACCAGATCCTTCTACAACTTCCAGCGCTTCGTTCCTTCCCAGGACTTCTCCAGGGAAGCCTCAACTCTGCTTCCGAAACCCTGAACCCTTAACCCTGAACCCTGCAGGATTTAGAGCGAGGGTTCCTTGGTACCCCGTGAACCCTAAACCCTACAACATAAACCCATCCTAGCGTGCACGAGGATTCCATCGACGAGATTGAGAGCTTCTCCGCAGCTCCTCGCCTGCCTTGCTTCTTTCGCAGTGATGTTTGCTAGGGTAACTTTCGAAAGTCTGAACCCTAGACCTTAACCCCAAAAGCTGACCATTCTTGAGGATGGCCAAGACGAGATTCAGCGGTTCTCCGAAGCTTCGCCCGAGGAACCTCCTGGAGGCGTGCCAGAAAAACTTCCCCAAGCCCCGGTCACGGCACAGAAGAGGAAGAGAAAGCCGTTGGCAGCACGTCCCTTGAAGGCGACCAAGTTTGGACGCTGTGAGGTGCATGCACGAGCCTTGCGGGCTCATGTGTACCGAACAGGAGCGCGCCGTGGCCAAGCTGCGCTGTGCTGCCCGCTCTTTTGGACATGCTCTTCCGATAACCGGAAGCCCGTCTGCTGGTTTTCTCGTGCCCCGACCCGCGAGGAATTGTTGAAGTTCCCTCCGGATTTGCTGCAGCTGCACAATTCGCTGTGGGCCTCCTTCCAGCGCGGGCACAGAGCCTAGAGCTTCACGTGATATTCCACACCCTCAATCCCGGACCTGTAAAACTCTTCCCGAAACCCTGACCCCTGCGCCGCAAACGGCAAAAGCACAGTTTGCATGGGCCTGCGAACGTTGCCCAAAAGATTCCTAAACCCTGCACTGTGAGCCCAAAAGGTCTTACCCTTAAACCCTAAACCCCAAAAAACCCGAAAAGGTCTCTACCCTGTAGGCCCAAACCCTAAACCCTCCACTGTGAGCCCAAAAGGTCTTGCCCGGAAACCCTCCACTGTGAGCCCAAAAGGTCTTGCCCGGAAACCCTAAACCCCAAATGCCCAAAAAACCCAAAAGATCTGTAGCCTGAAAAAAGCCCAAAAGATACCCATATTTCCAGTGGAAGCCCAAAAGGTTCCCAAAACAGGCCCGAAAAAAACTCTACCCTGAAACCCCAAATCCTCAACCCTCCACTGTGAGCCCAAAAGATCTAGCCCCTAAACCAACCAAAAAAACAGAGGAAAACAGTAGACAGCGTGGTCATGTGTGCACAAAGCACAGCACGACCCCCATGTGTGCACAAAGCACAGCACGTAATTCCCCCCCCCCCCCAACCCCTGAGCGTGGTCATGTGTGCACAAAGCACAGCACGTAATTACCCCCCACCCCCCCACCCCCCCCCAACCCGTCAAACGGAGGAAAAACAGGAGAAAACGATAGAAAAAGTAAAAAAACAGCAGAAAACACCATGATCAGTTAAGAGCGTGTCACCTACTACTACTACTACTACTACTACTACTACTACTACTACTACTACTACTACTACTACTACTACTACTACTACTACTACTACTACTTACTACTACTACTACTTACTACTACTTACTACTACTTACTACTACTACTACTACTACTTACTACTACTTACTACTACTTACTACTACTACTACTACTACTACTACTACTACTTACTACTACTACTACTACTACTACTACTACTACTACTACTACTACTACTACTACTACTACTACTACTACTACTACTACTACTACTACTACTACTACTACTACTACTACTACTACTACTACTACTACTACTACTACTACTACTACTACTACTACTACTACTACTACTACTACTACTACTACTACTACTACTACTACTACTACTACTACTACTACTACTACTACTACTACTACTACTACTACTACTACTACTACTACTACTACTACTACTACTACTACTACTACTACTACTACTACTACTACTACTACTACTACTACTACTACTACTACTACTACTACTACTACTACTACTACTACTACTACTACTACTACTACTACTACTACTACTACTACTACCTACTACTACTACTACTACTACTACTACTACTACTACTACTACTACTACTACTACTACTACTACTACTACTACTACTACTACTACTACTACTACTACTACTACTACTACTACTACCACTACCACTACCACTACCACTACCACTACTACTACTACTACTACTACTACTACTACTACTACTACTACTACCACCACCGCCCTATTCAGGTACATGGGCCATGAGCCTTTTTAGGGTTCATTTCGTCCCCAAGGAGCTGGGTCCACTCCAGCACGGCGAAGTTTCCCCTCACTGCCGTGCTTGTCTGATGGCCCCCGTCTTCCGAAGCAAACCGTGGCCGCGGCTCTACGAAGAGCTGCTCTGTCCACGCAGCCGTCGATGTGCAGCTCGAACCTCAGGGACGAAACAACCCTGGGGTCTAGGGTCTAGGGTCTAGGGTCTAGGGTTTAGGGTTTAGGGTTTAGGGTTTAGGGTTTAGGGTTTAGGGAAAGGGTTTATGGTCCATGAATCCATGAACCTTAACAGGGGTTATAGGAGTATAGGGTATATGAACCTCAAATTTTGGGGTTCATTTCGTCCCCAATAAACCGGGATCTTCCTCGTGGTACCGCCATGGTTCGATCTGCAGCAGGCAAGAAGGCTCCTCAAGGTCGCAAGCGCTGCGGGGGGGGTTTGGGGTTTAGGGTTTGGAGTTTCGGGTTAAGGGTCAGGAACCCTGGCGGCGTGTTGGATGGTTGTGTTGGATGGTTGTGGGGGAGGGAACCTCCCCCTCCCCTCCCTTACACCCCTTGAAGCCTTAAAACACCCGGGGGTGGGGGGGGGGGGGAGGGGGCGGCAACGCCCCTCTGTGTGCGCGCCAGGGCGGAAGCCCTTGCTTTAGCAATGGGGTGGGCATACAGGGCCGCCAATTTGTTCACAGAGGGAATCATATGGGACCTCCGCGGCCTCCAGCTTCAAAAGCAGTCCAACGCAGGAAACGCCACCAATACCGATGATTTTGAGCTTTTTTTGACCTGAGAAAAGTTCTTTTGAAGAAGGAGAAGCGGGGGCACAATGATGCTCATGATGCTGGCGGGGCGGGGGGGCTTACAGGGCGAGGAAGGGAGCCAATGATGCTCGTGATGCCTCTGTCGTTGGAGGCTTCTTAGACTTTTTTCCGGCTCGTGCAGCTTGTCTCGCGCACGCCGCGCTGGCCGGCGCGCGCGCGCGCGCGCGCCGCACCCGGCGCGCCCACGCTTGCATGCCTCTGCCTCCTCGGGGCGTTGCCCGCCCCTGGGCGCAGCACCTTAAAATTTAGGGTTTAGGGTTTAGGGTTTAGGGGTTTCTTGTTCACAGCATGTTGTAGTATATGAGGGTTTCCGAAATAAGGGGTGCCTTATTGGAGTCCTTATTCTACAGGGAATCCTACTGTTTGGGCACCTTGTTAGGGTCTTTTATTCTCGCATTCCTATGGCACAACCTTCTTGTTGTAGACAAGCCTTCAGATGAGATACAACAAACGACTCTCCCAACCCAGCCTGTGTGATATTGAACTCTTTGCAGGAAGCTGTCCACAAAAATACCATCAATCCGCGCAACATGGCGATTGGGCAAAATGGATATATCGCGGTTCGGTCTTACAAGGTCGTAAGGCCTACAGCTAACTCTGAGCCCACACATCTTGTGCAGTGCCAGCCACCATCAGCCCCACCCGAAACCCTAAACCCTGAACCCTAAACCGCAAACCCAAACCCTGGTTTGCTGTTCACGGCTGAAAAGTGCAGACTCAAAAGTGCAGGCCGTTGAGAGGGTGGGGCGTGTGAGGTGCGCTAGTTTGGTAACTGTCGTGATGTTTAGAGCCTCGATTGTCGTTCGCGTCTCAAAAGTTAAAAACCCTAAGCCCTAAACCCTAAACCCTTAAACCATATACCCTAAACCCTAAAAGGGCAGACAGGTACGAGGATGAGGCACGTGGGGCGCACAATCCTCGTAGCGAACTCTCGTCACTAAACCCTAAACAACCCTAAACCCTAAACCTAAACCCTAAACCCTAAACCCTAAACTGTCGTCACTGTTGAACCTTGGCTTGGTGTTCACGCCTCCAGATTCCAGGTTTGTGCGTATCGGGAGGGGGGGGGGGGGGGGGTAGGATTTATAGGGTTTAGGGTTTAGAGTTTGGGTTCGAGGGTTTCGGGTTTAAGGGTGAACACCTACGAAGTGTTCCTGATTCCCGACTTTGCATATCGGGGGGCGTGATGAAATTCTACTGTGTTCCTGCTTCCAGGGGGAAGGGGGGGGGGGGGGAGTTGTGAACACCTACAAAATGTTCCTGATTTCAGGTTTTGCGTATCGAGGGGCAAGTGTGAATGCCGACAACAAAGTGTTCCTGGTTCCAGGTGTTGCTTATGAAGGGTTAGTGGTAGACGCCTAGAAAGTGTTCCAGATTCCAGGTTTTGCACACTAGCTACTGTTCACGACTCCGGTTTTGCTTGTCTGGGAGTGCGTGGTAAAACCTACAATGTGTTCCTGATTCCCGGTTTTGCGTATTGGGGGGCTAGTGGCGAACATCTGCAAAGTGTTCCCGGGTGTTGCTTCTCGGGGGTGAAGAGAGAGAGAGAGAGAGAGAGAGAGATGAGAGAGAGATGAGAGAGAGAGAGAGATAAGAAAGAGATCAAGGAGAGATGACGGAGAGATGAAGGAGAAATGAAGAAGATAGATGACGCAGAAATGAAAAGAGAGAGAGAGAGATGAAAGAGAGCTGAAAGAGAGATGAGAGATGAGAGATAAGATGAGACAGAGCCAGAGAAAGAGAGAGAGAGAGAGTGAGACAGAGATAGAGAAAGAGAAAAGAAAGAGAAAGAGAAAGACGCTTAAGGAACGAGAGAGACAGAGAGAGAGTGAGCGAATGAGGGAGCAAATGAGGGAGGGAGAGATGAAGGACAGATGAGAGAGGTATGAGGGAGAGATGAGAGACATGAGAGAAAGGAGTGAGAGACAGACAGGGAGATCAAAGAGACAAAGAAAAGAGGTGAGATAGATATTGAGGGAGAGGATGAAAGGGAGAATGAGACGGAGAGAGTACACCTGAACCTGTCTAGGGTTTCTCCTAGAAGTCCTATTAGATAACTGTCTGAACCCACCCTGAAACCTAAAAACCTACACCCTACACCCTAACATGCTAAACCCTAAAACCCCAAAACACTAGAACCCGAAACCCTACACCCTAAAAACCCAAAACCCAAAACCCAAAACCCTAAACCCTAAACCCTAAACCCTAGAAGCCAAACCCTAAACCCCAAGCCCCACACCCCCCGGAACCCCTAACACCCTAGGACCCGAAAACCCTAGAACCCTAAAACTCAACACCCTCAAACCCTAAGCCCTAAACACCTTTAACCCTAAACCCCAAAGCCGAAACCCCAAGCTTTAACCCAAGACCCCAAACCCCAAACCCTAAACCCCAAACCCCAACCCTAAACCCTAAACCCCAAAACCCTAAACCTTAGACTACCCTATACCACAGGCGGTTTCACAAATAGGGTTTAGGGTTTGGGGTGTAGGGTTTAGGGGTTAGTGTTTGGGGTTTAGGGTTTGGGGTTTAGGGTTGGAATTGAACCGGGCTCCCAAGCTAAAGCTGTTTGAAGGGTTTAAGGCTGAAGGTTTTAGGGATGAGGGTTGCCAATACCAGACACC